TCTCTCTCTCTCTCTCTCTCTCTCTCTCTCTCTCTCTCTCTCTCTCTACGTTCGAAAAAACGTTTATTTCATTTAAAATTTAAAATTTTATATGTATTTTTACCTTTATAATTTTAAGATTTAAAAGGTTCTTTTAATTTAATTTAAATTTAATCTATTTATTGAATAATTGTTTAAAAATTATACACATACATTTATATCGTTCCTCCAAACGTGCGATTACTAATATATAGAATTAAAGCTAATAGATTCAAAGAGATAATATATTTAACGTTTGCGATGCGCATTTGCTCAAACAAAAAACTGATCGGTTCGGCATCTTAATCGCATTAGTTAATTATACATACTTGATGGTATTCGTATACTTTTGCTACTTCTTTCGTATACTTCTCTACATCACAGGCAAGATTGGATAATTAATTTTAAACGCAGTTATTTCAAATGCATTTATATTATTTACATTAATATGAAGATACAAATGTTTAAATGATTTGTCGCGAATAACACAACAATCATTTTCCAAGTCACGATGTTTATTTATTTCTTGTCCAAGCTTTATAATAACGCTTAACTGCGTAAAAATTATTTATTATTTTTGTGCGTTAAACCATTTGAGAATTTTATTTGGTATCTATAAAAATTTCAAAATAATAAGGAAAAACGTATCTTCTTTTAAAAATTAAACGTAGAGAAAAATATTTTTGCTTTAAAAAAAGAAATAATATTCTGATTTAAAATATTTTGTCTTTTATATCGAGAATCATGTTTTTCACGATATCATAATACATTTTTACGATAATATGCTCCAGTCCTGTTTACTCAGCCCGGTTTACCTAGTCTGTTAATGTCTTCGGAGCATATTACGTGGTATATCCGATGTCTCGGTACGACATTGCGTAAGTGGGATTATTATGCGAGCATGCGGCTCGTAACCTTGAGAGCAGGCTACAAGCGAACACGTCGTGTCTCTCTGCCTACGTCCTGACGTCATTTACCGTCATACTGTCGAGAAGATGAGAACGCACAGTGGCAGCAGATATTATGCGAGATGCGACGTAAAAAATGTGTTTGAGTCATGATATTTCTTACGATAAAAAAAGAATTATTTTTCCCAGATATTAATATTAGGCTTATATATTTATCGGAGCGTAGTTAAATTTTTCCTTAAATACTAACAAGATATTACATATACTACAATGCAGTAATTTCAATAATGAATAGGCTCGCCAAATTATAGCTAACTCTAGCTATCTAATAATATTGATAAAATAGATAAAGTTACAAAAAATTAATCTTACGTCATTGCTTGGAAATTAAATTCGTCTAAATTATTATTTAATACAATCAATTATAAATTAAATAATTTATAATAGCCTAAAATCTAATTTAAAGATAACATATGACTGTTATTTGCATTGGCATATTCCGTCTCGGAATTGTTAATCATTGATCTTGGTTATTGGAAAATACGTCGGACGTTGTTATATGATGAACGTATCGATAAAGCACGCCTGACATGATCGTAGGTAGTGCACATCAATTATCACGGCTACTTCCGGGAATATATCACGAAAGAAAAAGTGTACATATATATATATTTTTTTTAAATAAAATTATTGTTAATAATTATTAACATTTTAATTTTGCTTCTAATACCGGAAGTAAAAACGTTCTTATATAATAATTATATTATATGTAGTAATCATATTTTACTATAAATCAGATTAATTAATACGTGCAGTAATACTTGTTATATAATTTATTACGAAATTTTATAGATAAATCTTTCAGTGCGCACTATAGCGATGACAATTAAGTGTCATCAGATTGTAGTATAGGTTTTTCTCATTATGATGCGAATTTGATCAAAAAGAGAGAATTTTTATGCCATGAACTATTATATAACAGAGTTATAACAATAACGTTTTCGTGATGTGGAACGGAGAATTATTTCATGCGAGATAATCTTTTTCAACATTAGCTATTTCGCGAGCCCGGATAACGTTCGCACAGTGATGGTCGAATAAAAAGCGGCACATCGAATTTTACGATCCTCCATGCAGTAACCGGCATTTATTCTTACTTATCACGGTGCGCGACATTGGACCATTCGCCTCTGCGGTTTTGCGCTTTTTTCCCCGTTGGTGCTCCGTCCGAGCTGCCATATTCAGAATTTATTGCGCCACGGAATAAAGTGTCCCGCTTAATGTAACTATTAGGCCGCAAAGTTTGTTGCCCCGAGAGCACCACGGAAACTAAAATTTCAGCGGGACACGACATATTACCTTCACATTTCACCGCGCTTTCGATGACGTGATAAGTAAAATTCTGCAGGCTGCAGTTATTTATTAATACGCACATTATGGACGCGACTTGCGCTTCGCGATAGTCTCTAAGAACCATAAAATGATTACAGGCTTATTTAATGTTATGATACAGATGTATGCTTATTGATTCTTTGATAGTTGCGCACAACTGACGCTAATTGTTCCAGTACGCTCTGCTGTTACGTATACGCTGTTAATTTTGTATTATTTCCTCGATGAGAATTCTATCGGCTACACGTATACTAGAACTTGAGGATCCACATATCTACGATATCGAGAACAATGATTGTGATAAACGATGACTTTCCTTGTGTTAATAAAGCCACGAAGTAGTAGCGATGATTACATTTTTACGCCCTGCTACCATATCTAGTGGGGATTATATTATTATTTGATTGTATTTTGGTAGCAACGGTCACTAAAGTTGCAACGTAAACGAAGCATTAAACAATTTCTTATTTCATCTATCACATTATTAAATTAAATAACAATTGATTTGTATAAAAATAAATTTTATATATTCTATGGTAAAATACTTGTCTGAAAGATATTCAACTGTCGTGTCTTCTCTCTTTTAAAGTTTGTTAATTAGTCACGAAATATGTATTTATCAATATAATTTTGTTTCTTTTTCATCTTTTATTTCTAAAACAAATATATTAATCTGTTAAATTAATTATGTTACATGGATTAATTGTAAAAGTTAAAGAATTCACACTATAATACTATAATACTATATTAAATTGCCATTTTTCACCTTTCAAACATTAATAAATTGTACTAAAGTTACGAAAAGTGATATCGACTTCAACTCAAGGATTTGATGTTGGACACTCCCAAGGTCTATCCAAGTAATAGACTTGATGGACTTAGAGGCGGAGTAGTAAAGCCGAAGCTTTAAGCTTAACTCGTAACTCGAAATATGAGTAGGACGAAAGAAATCTAAGAGCGGAATAACTCGGCAAAAGCGGAAATCCTCAGAGTTTAAGTAGGTTTATGTCGGTCGTACTAGTGGTATATGGTGGTATATTGCACCATACGCGACGCTTGACGCATCGTTTTGCACGCATGTTATTGTCCTGCAGGAATACCCGTGCGATAATGAGATTAAATTCGCCGCGCATGAAACATGATGACGATGACTATCGCAATGCATATAACGATGGGAGATCTACTTTGTCACGATGAATAAATATGTATATCTGTATAAGCACACATTATCTTAGAAGAAATCCGAGTTATACATTATAAATAACTTTTTACAGTTATATATAACCAATTTTCGATAATTTTTAAAAAGTCTGGTATATACGTGAAATACTATGTACGACTGATGCAACGAAAAATTTCTTGCACACAAAAGAAGGAAAATAATAAGGAAATATAATAAAATTTGAATGGAAATGGAATTTAAAGGGTTGCACATATCACATCACATCGAATTAAGGAACTGGTTTGTGATATTTTTTTTATGTGGCATTAGATTTCTCTATTTTCACTGATTGCACGGACAGGAAGTTGTCAGTGACAGCTTATTACATACCGTAAAACATAATTGCCCACTTAACTATTTTAACGGTGCTGGTTTCCCGCGCCACAACACGTAAGACAAAAGTGTTAATTTCAACTTTAATTAAACGAAATGCGACGTATCTTTGTAAAAATATCATCACATTGTAATATTAACGTGATTGCAAAACGTTTTGAAATAATTTCGGCTGTATTCTAATAGGCATGTTCGACAAATTGTCCGCGATTACCACTTTATTCTCAGACGCATTCGTTTAGCAGTTTAGCTGAATAATATCATTTTTGTGGTGGCGAATAAAAGCTAACGGAGATAAAATTACACGCCAAATAGCTATTGGAAGAAAGATGAAATTTAAAAGATGGAAATAATTTATTTTACATAGAACAATCTCTCTCTCGACTGGGGTTTCTAAATCCGTGCTAGAAAGTATGAGCGCGCATTATATATGTAAAATAAAAAAGACTTTATATATCAGTCATATAATTGATATAAAATGATAAACAATGTTTCGAAAAAATGCAATGCATCGCGAATCCTGGTTTCTGACACAAGACCAGGATTTCCTCTTAAACGTATAACGTATGATTTTATCAGATTTCATCACAAATGCTCAATAAACAAAGATAATTTTATAAATAAATCACATAAAATATAATTTTATTTAAAATGTGAATGTTTCTCTATATTTATTTATATTTTACATTAATAATATCTATTACATCATTTTGATTAAAAAGTGAACAATACTTAAGATTTCATCGATATTATTGTAATACCTAATACCTATAACATTGAAATGAACAAAATATTAATAGATATATACGACATATACGTATATATTTATTTAGTTAAAAAAAATAACAATACGTTTCTCAAAAGAAGTACGTTATTTGCGAATTGACGTAATAATTCTAAGTACGCGCAGATATAATATACATATAAGCATCGCTTATTTCGATTCGCTTCATTTGGTCATCGAAATGAGGTAAACAAAATGATTTAATTAAGCAGATTTAGCATTTCCTTTCTATTTTCAATCAGTCTCACATCTGCTTTGTTTAAAGGTCCATTCTACACATTGTCCTCGGTTAAACTCGGTTCAGCATAGCCGATAGCGAAAGGGACGATGCGCGATTGCATACAATTGCATGCGATTGCAAGCAAATGCAATCGCAAGGTATAGTGTAGACAGTATAGTGTATAGTAGTGCCACGAGAGTGAAGAGTACAGCGTGGAACGCGCCGAGAGACGGAGGGAGCGAGCAGGATGGTATATGGCTACGGTATGACGAGAAGAGGAGAAAGAGAGTGTGTTGGGAATATACGTGGGAAAAAGACGGAGAAAGATGGAGCGGAGCGTTCGTTTTCCAGGCAGGCAACTCGGCGCGGCGCGGCGTCGGTCGGAGGCATCGGAGGCATCGGAGGCATCGGAGCTCGGAGCTCGGAGCTCGGAGCTCAGTCCGCTCAGTCGCTCAGTGCCTCAGTATGCCGCGCAGCGCGCAGGCTCGCGTACACGTATTATCCTTTTCTCTCTATCTCTCTCCGCGTTTGGTTTCCGCGGTGCGCGGCGCGTCCTCTCTCTCTCACTCTCTTTCTCTCTTCCCTCCTGTCTCGCGCGCGCATCACCGCGCCGCGCGCCGTGCCCGTTCGGTACGCACGCTCCGTATTGCTCGCGTACGTACGTATGTACGTGCGTACGTATAATACGTAGCGACGAACGAACGATACGTGCGTGCGTGCGTGCGTGCGCGCGCGCGCGTGCATTGGTAGTATACGCAAGTACAAATATTTCGTGGCACGCTTCTTTTCACGTATGCGTTTCGCGGTTCGCGGCCTACCTTTTCCCTTTTCCTGCGCACACTCCAGGTCGCTCTCGCGCGAGCAGGATCCGCGAGTGCGTGATACGTGTGTGTGGATGTATACGTGTACGTGATTTCTTTTTTTTATGCATGACTACTCGCGCACAGCGGTGCGGCGGACAAGCAGACAGGTACGTGGAGGATACGTCGCCGCGGTCGTGGATGTGGTCGTGGTCGTGGTCGGCCGTCGCGCCATACCGAGTACCGAGTACCGAGTACCGAGTCGACTAACGGAGCGCTCGCGACTCGCGACTCGCGCGAGTGCCGCTTCGTGAAACACGCGCGCAGGATACGCGCAGGAGAATCCTCCAACGTGATATTCGTCTTGTCTTGTCACGAAGTCTCTTTCGTGGAAAGAAGAGTGCATCGATGCATCGTTGTGACGTCTGCGCGGCAACGACTCGAGTCGTGTGACCCATATACACGGTGACACGGTGACACACGGGCGAAAGTGATCGAGCCGATACGAATGGGTGCGCGCACAAGTGTCGCGGTTTTGACGCGGGAAAGAGCGGGAAAATCGAGCGGTCGCGGAGCCGGCGCTGTCCGCTCGATGAAGACACGCGTGTAACAGCGCGGGCAGGAAGAGAGGAACGAGTCTGATGTGAGTGAACGAACGGACGAACGGACGAACGAACGAACGAACGTGAGTACGGAACGTTGCGAAACTCCTTAGGCTTGATTGTGAGATGTGGCACAAAATGAAGCGAGCGTATCCACGAGCGATCGATAACTATAGCGGCACTATAGTCGACTCGATGAATATCAAGCGGCCCGTGCTACCAGCCAATCCAACCTAACGGACAACGCGTGACCTCCAGGAGCGGCGCGCGGCGTGGCGAGCTGGCGAGCTGGCGAGCATCAGAGTGGACAGGCTCGTCGACGATCCCAACTTCCGTACTCGTTCAACGACGGCGTAGACGATGTAGAGTTGTAGAGAGAAAGTTGCGCGACGTTTTTGTTGCACCCTGGAGGAAAGGAGTATCGCAACAGACAGCGAGAAAAAGAGAAGGAGAGAGAGAGAGAGAGGGAGAGATAAGGGGAAAAAGAGAAAGAAAGATAACGAGAAACGTACGCGAGAAAGAACGTGCGTCGAAGACGATGCGAGTGGAAAGTAATTTTCCAAGCTCGTGATGTTATAATGGAACGTCGTTAATGACACGACAATAATCGACGGAATCGATCGTTGCCCAAAGATCGATTTAACGTTCCCGTATCTTCGTTCCCCTTCTCCGGAACGTTCGAAGCGGAACGCGAACGGAGAGAATAAAAATCAAGGAAGAGAGACAAACGGAAGAAGGTAGAAAGGAAGAAGGGCGAGAGAGAGAGAAAAGAAGAGAAAGGGGAGAAGAAGAGAAACAAAGATAGAGAGGAGTAGAGAAAGAAAGAGAGAGAAAGAAGATATCTTATTTTTAGCAGCACCGCTTTGCACATCGCAAAAACCGGTTTCACAGAGTCCACGGAGTCCACGGAGTACGAAGGAAACCGATAGCTTTCGTGAAGGGTGTTTGAGGGAAGAAGAAATACATATGCGAATAACAAAGACACACATGTACCTTCGTCCCTGTCGCAGAGAAATAGTGGGAAAAGAAAGAAACAGATAAATATATGCTTATCAGGTGCTTTCAGGTACAAATTCCCTTTGGGCACATTCCTTAAAATACTCGATATTTACTCGAAAATATATGATAAATCTAGGAAAACAAAGCTAATTCAAAAATAGCTAAAACAAAAGTTAAAGCATAAAAACCTTGATGAAAAAAATTTATTGTGATATCTGATTCAAGGTTTTGCGAAGTACGTGTATGTTGGTGTGAAAATAAAGAGGAAGACACGAGGAAACAATGACACGAAAGGTGGAATTTGCTTAACTCGATACGCGCACAATTCTCTTGCACCCCGCCGCAGTCCGCACCTTGCTCGCCATCGAGCCCCCCCTCTCCCCCCGACCGCCGCCAGGTATAACCACCTCTGCCGTTCCTTGTCGTTCTGAGGTACCGGCTTATCGATTGCGTGCGTGCGTACGCGACAACGCGGACGACACGAGATTCGACTATCGACCCTGTCGACGACGACGACGACGACGACGACGACAACGACAACGCATCTTGTAATTTCGGGATTAAAAAAGCTACCTGACACCAGTTGGTATTGTTGTCAGAATCGCCGAGTTTTCGGTCAATCGTTGGAAGATAGGTCCGCGAAAAGTTTCAAGAACATGCTTTTCGATTAAGGGATCGAAAGTTGTATCAGTTCGAGCAGTCTTTTAAGAAATAACCGATAAAGACAAGTAAAGACAAAATTGATTATCAATAATATCAATATAACGAAATTTGGATTACTAACATTTATCCAAAATATACATACATATATCGTACTCTAGTCTGTAATTTTTAATGAAAATTGAAACAAAACGGAACTCGGCGAAAGAGAGAGAAAAAAAAACTATTTTAATCCTCAACGGTGAACAACAATGAACATAACGATGAGCATTAAGTGGGAAAATTGGTACCCGCCGGGAATATTGAATCATCCCGATGCTCGGGGTGCTTAATTTCTGATCACGTTATATAGTATAGTATATCGATAATATCAGCACATTGATGAAATTAAAACCATCTGTAATAAATTGATATATCTTCGAGAGCTAAGAATCGATTTCCAAATTACTCATTGGTTTACGCGCAATCTCTACGCGCATAAATCGCGTTTCATCACGTTATCGTACATATATTGTTGATGAAAATACCGAAGACATCGAGACGTAAACGTGCATGATCGATCCGATCGATCCACATCCGCGACAAGAACTTGGTCGAGAACTTTCGTCGCAGATTCGATTGATCGTCATCGACATTTGATGTAAAGCCGAGAGAACGTTCGCGAAGAATACGAACGGCATGAAGAATGGCAACCAATTCTTCGAGCACTCGTCAGGGCGTGAGGGCGGTCGCCACGACGACTACCGATCCGCAGCGGAGCGAGAAGCGTGCCGTCGCGGCGCGGGGTGCCGCCGGCGCTCTGGCCCTGAGCGTCGTGGCTTTGGTCGTACAATCGGCGGCCACCGCGACTCCCACCTGGGGATACTTCACCAATCCTAACGGTGAGTCATTGCCCGCTGTGCGTGATTGGTTTTATTAATTAAGACCCGCTTCTCTCTCTCTCTCTCTCTCTCTCTCTCTCTCTCTCTCACACACACACACACACACACACACCCACGTGACTCATTGTGTGGCTATGTGACCTACTAAATTTTTCTCGCGATCTTGGCGTGATCGGTCGATCCCTCACGTTGTCTGTGTCACAATTAATTTGCTAATACTCTGCAAATATTTCTGAAATTAGCATTGAATGAGGGAAAATACAAAATACCATAACGTCAAATTTTTAAAATGCGTTAGCGTTGGTCAATTTTATTAATTAAGATCGGCCGTGTGTGACTTATCTCCTCGATCGGTTGTATATAATATATTGTATATATGCATTTTATCGCAACCCAATTACAGTATTTTTGTTACAATTTTTGTTACTACTAATGCTTAAATTGTATCTCTTTGAAAAATTTTCAAAGTTTATATCGGAAGAAAAAAGAAATAATGCCTAGTTAAATTTTTATTGAGCTTTTATTATAATTTTTGACTATTTCTTTCTAAATTATAGTTGTGTAATGTTAATATAAATGAAAAAGGGAAATTAAATTAGCTTTGATTGACATTAGCGCTCTAATTAAAACATCTAGCGCTTTTTATAATTTCTCTTTTTTGCAAATTATAATGTAACGTTATGATTAAATTTATATAAAAAACATATTTTTGATTTTTTGACAAAATATATCTATTGAGATTTTCGGATGATTATCAAATATGACTTATGTTTCTCGTTAAAGATACTACGCAAAAATAACCATTATATATGATGTCATCATGCGCTTGCCTCATTACTCGAGTTATATCGGTTAACAAGATGAGGCAACTTTTCTCAATTTATGAATATAATTTATACCTACTTCTCTTGTTTTAAACACGTCAAGAAATGTTAACTACGTACCAAGGTAGATCGAGAATGTATTGCATATGTATAATATACATATACAATTATCGCGAGTTTCGTTGTTCTTCACGACAAACGGCCGCGGCGCGGGCGTAGCATCGAGAGGATTTCAATGGGTTCGCGTCGCAAGTAGAGCGTGTTAAATACGTTCAAAGAGCCAGAAACATTTCCTTCATTCATTCATATCAGCCTAGCGTAATCAAAACGCGTTTGCCGCGCGGTTTTACGGAGTAGTAAAGTTTGAGTTTGACCCAATTCAACGCATACGGCTCTCCATATATCGAGCCAATTAATTCCAGCAGCTCATTTTTACAGCTGCGTTACGCGCACTGCTTTTCCTCGTCTACGTACCTCTCGCCGACCTGTTTCTCTCTTGCCTAATAGTTACGGCAGCAGCGCTGCCGGAGCTCCGGAGATAGTCTCGGCCTTCGACTTCAACGCGGTGTTATTCTTGAGAATCGCGCGTAATTTCCACTACCAAAGTCCATCTACTCTTTACGCAATCGCAAGTCAATAATGTTTCCTCCATTCTAATTAACGAGAACAATTTGTCGCCCGCACGGATACCGCTTCTATTGTACTTATTATTATATATTAACATGTATATTCGCCATTCCGGACGGTGCTCGCTTCCGTGTGATCGTCTTGATTATTCTTATTATTGTATTGAAACTTTAAACAGACGGAAAGTTAATTTTTCCAACTTTCTTGTATCTCGAGAATGTAAAAGACAATGTAAAAATGTCAGGTTGTTCGATGCCACATTTTGTTTTGTTGTCTAATTTGGCTATTTTTATCAACACATATAATACACATATGAATAAGCAGTTATTTATGAATAAGCGGTTCTTTTGTATGAACTCTGCCGCGCCCGCGCCGGTGACAATATTATATTGTAAGTTAACTCTTGCAAATCTCCACTTATACAATGACGATTTCTTTAAGCGAGGAAACATGAAGATATAGTGGCTCATATATCAACATATGATCAAATAAGCGTACACGTTTCTCCTCGCTCACGTCTTCGCGAGCGGCGAGAGGCGTGTCGTCGCGACACTCGCGACTCATTATCCATTACCCAAGTATAGGACACCGCGGCGCGCGGTATAAAAGCGTGATATTTCAAAGAACGACGACTTGACGACGCGACGGGACGGACGTTGCTCAATACTGCGCGACTCGGAAACCAATAACGCATGGTTTCCTTGTGCTAAATACAACAGTACACGTAATTTCTTGTTGGTGATATCCCGCGTAACGATGCTAATAACGCGCTCGGGCGCGTACAACCTGCAACTTTCCATTCGTGTGCGATTATGATTATTTTCTAACAGGATAATCATAAGAGAATCCACTGAAATTCGAGCAGCGCGCGAAACCGAGTAACGTACGAATGTTTCCCATACGCGTGATTCCCATCGTTTTCTGCCGCCATTGTCTCCCGTTCTCCGTTTCTCTCGTTTCGCGTGTAAGCATGCATATCGAGGAGCATCGTGGAAAGAAAAATAATACGACCGCTTCCTTAGGCCGCTTCCTCCCGACCTGGCGCGGGAGAAAAATCTCCGGGAATAAAGTCTTTCCGTCGCAGTCGTCGCACCGAGAGGCAACGCGCTCCCACACTCGTCGGCGTTCGATAAACTCGTAGCTCGTAGCTCGAGAGCCGCTACACAACACGCACATTGCACGCGTGCGTGTAAACGCATTCTGTTTCTGTATGCGTACGTAGCAGGTGTCTGCTACCATATGACGTCGCTGCTAAATATCGGGCGCGGATGTAACGTCTATACATATGGTGTCCCTGAAATAGATCATCAAACTTTAGGAGCATATTCTCTTCACTTTAGGGATGAACAAAATATCGCTGTATAGACTAGTGTAGAGTGTAGAAGGAAACCGTTTTTGACCATGCTTTTAAGACGGCACAAAGAGATTCACCTTAAGATTAATCATATGTGAGTAGGTATTGTTGCAAAACTCTGTAGTAGACAAAAAAATAGTTATAATTTAGAGAAGATAAATTTTTTGATCTGCAATTATATAATATTCTTTTATCTTTACGAAAAAATATTAAGTAGAATATGTTCCCAAAATTTGGCAATCCAATTCATGGACATTTTAATTACATGTATAATTACAGAATGAGAAAAATGTTGAGATTCTTATAATACATATCATCGATACGAAAAAAGTTTCAGATAAAAGTTTTGCAGTATTAAGGAGAAAATGTAATGCATATAACAAATTTTTTATGCAGCATACATTTTTATAAGATTTTCATATTGGCATCATCAATATTATTTAAACTATTTCGGGGTTTTGATATCTTTTTCTCACCCTGTATATGAGGCACGGTCACTTGTGTACATCAGATACGTCAGGTATGTAGCTACCTGCGACGATAGCCCTGCGTTTCACAGGTATGCGGATTCACAGGTGGCAAGGAATACTGTTACACAACGCGCACGCACACGCACGCATGCATTCATCGTCAGACGCGACGAGAGCGACGATGCACATTGCAAAGCTGTTAATTATGGACGGAGAAACGGGGCTGACGGGAAAGTTCCGTGATGGAATCGATAAGCCGTGAACAGCGCGGGTCGCATTTTTTTCGTCTCCTTCTCTCTCATATATGTCGCGTATATTCGTTATTGTTGTTCCTTGAATCGGAAGATCGAGTTGACTGTTACATTGTAGCAGAAACTGTCTGTTACGATTCTTATTTGATCCTTATTTTTATGATCCGCATTGCAATTATGTTTTATATATATTTTTGATGTTTTATATATATTATGAACAATATTCTCTAATTCTGTATAAACAGATGCAGTATTTTATCCTCGTTAACATATTTTTCTGTAAAATATTGATTTGATCTTTCAGGGCAGACGTTTAATGGAAAGTTATATAAAACTCTAATTTCTTACAATTGCATTTATCTAAATTACATAGTTTATGTTTATATTTATGGTTTATATATGTATATGTATAGAAATCTGCAAAATTTAGTAGACAAAGATTTATCAAAGTAATAAAACGATTTTTAACTAAATAGATAAAAATGTATAATTTATAAAATAGTAAATCTGTCTTCTCTTAAAAGTGTAATTTTTTAATAGCGGAATTAAAGTAACAATAAATTAGTTCAATCTTCAATCGGTAATTCAATCTTATTCAAAGATATACATATGTATAATACCTCGTCTAGTATATATTAATATTGAAACATCAATATTCAATTTTTCGTTATCGAACAAGATTTGTAAAAATTGATAAGAGACGATCTAATTTTAAGACAAAGTGGAGCGAAATGACACTTTTGGTCGCGACAGATGTACACGGTTTTCTTGCTCGTCAACGCGCCATTACACTCGGGACCAGTCTGTTGATCGATAAAATCCGTTGCGCGCTCGTGCCAGATACGATTGATGACACGTCATGATCGATTCCTTGGAGCGGTACTATACGATTCGACGCGGCTATAGACAATATTATAATTTACGCGTGCACAATCATATTACGATTGAACGAGCATATGTGTGTCGCGGCGTGAGACACGTACACACACATACATATACATTTATATATATATAAAAGAAAGAATAGAATATAGTAAAGAGAGATGAGAGAGAGGGGGGAGAAGAGAGGGGGAGAAGGAGAGAAGAGAAAGGCATAAGGTACCGCTATACTAGGGCTCAGGACTCTTCCAGCCAGGAGTGCAACGGCCTTTACCTGGCTCTCACTCACCCTGCCCCCTCTGCGCGACCCCACTCTCTATACTCTATGCGATCTTTCTCTAAAAATTATAGTCTGCGTGCGCGGGAGTCTCGTTTACCGGTGCAAGACTCTCGTTCATAACGGAGTACGATGCATTATCATAAGAATTCTTCGTTTTGTTAAATGCTTTTTTATGACGTTGAGTTACGAAATATCCTTAAATTCGGTTGACATTTCTTAAATTTCATTATTACGCAAATTCTAAAGTAATTTAAGACCAAGTTTTTCCGACCATCAATATACATTGCAATGCGATAAAATGCAACAACGGATGTT